AGGTATAACATAATTATTTAGTAAGACCTTTTTTAACTAGAGAAAGAGCGTTATAACTAAAAACAGTTTTTTTGTTAATTGTTAACCTATTTATTTATTTAATGAACTCAGCTTGTATACTTTATAATTAAAAGAATTAAAAGTTTAAAATACCATATAATTATATACATTGCATTGATGTAGTCTCTTTAAATACACCTTAATTAAAAGGCCACCAAGCTTTGTTGAAATTAACACATAAACGCTATAAATGGATAAATAAAAAAAATCTAAACATTAAACTAATTAACCTATTCCATATTTGTACTACTAACATATTAGACGTGTGATCCTGACATAGAATGGGTTACCCCTGCCATTCCCGGCTGTTGTATGAAACGACTAAGAGAACTTAATGTTCGAGAGATTCGAGAGAGCAGCAGCGACCCTCTTAGAAGATCGCCAAAGTCTATCACCGGTTGCCAGTCCGATTGCCAAGCGTGGCAATTACCGGCAAACCGAGGAGGCGAGGCGAGGAGGTCGACCTGGTTGGGTATATTGCTAGCAATGGGATTCTCAGTCTCCATTACTAACAATCCCTTGACCCCCTGATGACTAGTATTGGACATGAGCATACTTTCTTACGGTCGAGTCAATTTTTCGTTTGTTTACAAAACATTTTTATTAGTTATATTAACATAGATTGTAACAATATACACGGTGTGATATGGACATGTCGAGTGTTATGTTTACAAACACAGGTGACTACTATATACGAGTATTCTTTTTTCTATATACGAAGATAGAATGTTAACGCCATCTGTACTATCCATACACTCTGACGGAGCACCAACAAGAGATAATAGGTGAAGATTAAGCATTGATATTATTGCTACATTTAATTCATTATCACATAGTAAAATTATTATTTTTATTGACTGTGATATCACCAGTGACAAATCACTAGCTGTGATTTTCGTTCGCGACGACTTAATATAGATACTATTGAGCTATTAAAAGTAAATTGTGAATTATGATTTTTGTGATAAGAGCGAGCGACGCTTTACTGCTGTGTGATAAAGTCTCTATTCGCTCGTTTTGTATAGCCCAGACGGCAATCTAATGCAATTTCACTTCACTACTAACTGAACGCAGCCAATGACTCACGAATAAATCCGAACGCAGCGACTATCTGCAGTTTTATTTGGTGTGATTTGTTTTGTAGCGATCTATGAAGCGACGTATTTTAATTAACGTACGTTTGATTCAGCATAACATATGAAATTTCACTTCTGACATATAAAATGAAATTCCAAGTTCCAAATTCTAATGATGATGAAGTCAGGTCAGTTAGCACATCGTAAAGAATTCAGCAGAAATCAATCACGAATAATTCCGCTATTTCCTTATGAAAGTCAACCTGATGATTCGTTTCATATGTTCAGTCAGGAAGAAGAAAGATACATAGATTTTTTTAGACTGTGATTACATTATGAATTTTTTTATACTTCATTGCACACAAATATTACAGCGTTATAAATTATTTTGAACAAAGATGTACAACAGACGATCTTATATCTCTAAGAGTTCTCTTCTAGCAAACCCAGTATGGGAAGGAGGATTAGTTCATTACCAGCGAGTAGCGTAGCAATAAAAAGAAGAAACTGTAAGGAAACACTATCTACACTTATGGGGGAAGAGTATGTGATCTCATAGCCTTATTGCTAGCAATATACCCTATCAGGTCGACCTCCACGTGGTTTCCCCTGGAAACCATCGTGTTTAAATCTTATGGAATTTGTTACGATAAGCTACCTGCTTTAATCCTCGCCTATCATCTCATTGGTAGTCGGCCAGCGTATACCGATATCGTAGACATAGTTACCATTCCGTTATTTTAAATTATTATATATTATTAAAAAATATGCTTACCATATACTAATCACTACATTATGTGATTTTTTCAGTTTATTATTCTACTTATTCGTTACTCTGAAACCTCTAATCGGCTAAATTAATTTAGAAAAGATAGTAAGACATACTATAGGACACCGTTTATATTTGTTTAAAGGCAGTTCAAAACCCCAAGACCAATATAATATTTCAAGAAAATCGATAGCGAGAAGACGTGAAATAAATAATTCATGTGGAAGGCAGGTATTTGACCCAAATATGCGTATCGAGGACCAAGTATTATGGAACGTTGATTTGTGTATAGTCAACCAAACAAATGATTTAACTGTATTGGGATATTATTAAAAGTTATTTTTCTAAAGTTGAGCCATTGAAAGTACAAAAAAAAAATTTTTTTATTATACGTAAATTTCCGATTCAGTTAGATATGCCGTCGATCCATAAATTTCTTTGTAAATAAAAACAGATTGCATATTTATTAAAACGTTGAATTTAATTAATTAAAACTTTTAAACAGCCTACTTCGAAAAGGGGGAATTTATTAATTTATTGTTTATTTTTCCAATTTCTTGTTTGACCAATTTTAAAGCAATTTTGATATTTTTTTTTTTATATTTACTCCTTTGTGAAGAAAATAGAGTCAAATTTATATTTACAAAGTTTAACTCTCGTTTTATATATCGCTATACTAATTTTGTCATTCTTAACAATTTGATTCATTTGAACAATACAAGATCTATACAATTATTTGTAATTATAGTAATTTATTGTACTTATATTAATGATTTGTAAAATTGTCTTTTATGAGACGCTAACTTTACAGATAAGGTCGGGGGAAAGGGATTGTTAGTAATGGAGACTAAGAATCCCATTGCTAGCAATGTACCCAACCAGGTCGACCTCCTCGCGATTCCCCCTGGAAACTATCATGATTAGTTCCTTATGAATTCATCATGATGGGCTAACTGGCCTGTTTTCATTCTCATCAATTACCCTTCACTGGTGTTCCGCCAGCATATCCCGTTAGCGCAGGCGAGGTTACCATTCCATTTTCAATCATAAAAAAAAACTTTACAGATAAGGTCTTCTTAGGTACTTCTGTCCTACTCGTGTTTCTGCCATGATACAGCTGAAGCGTGGGATATGGAATGAACTTACAAAGTACAGATTCATAACACCATAGTGCCCATAAATAGCAACGTATGAGGGGTACCATCGGTATTTACAGTGCATAACGCGATTTTCGACGTTTTTGTTTATAGGTGTCGGCTAGCACTTTTCATTAAGTGGACACTCAGTTTATTTGCCATTTTTAGTATAAGTTTGCTACTTCAACGATTTTTTCGCTGACTGTACTATCCGGTGCAAACGGATTTATTATTTTACTACCTCCACAGATATAGAATTAAATAGATATCGCAACTGCGTGCCCTTATTGCGTGTCAACTTTTATGCTTAAAACGGGCTCATAAGAGCCTATTTGATTCCGGCTATACACTGGTTCGGAAATTCTGCATATGAAATTTATGTCGAAAAAAGTTTAAAGGTCGAACATTAAAAGTTTAAAAAGGGTCGAGAGAGATTTTGTTGTCAATAATTAATAATAAATTTAGTTTCATGTAAATCCAGATACTTGGTACATCTATTACTGTATAAGGCTTAATATTGTTCACCCATAGTGAGAGGACTGTGTTATACATCATTACCTACCTATCAATTTTAAATTACTATAATCCTGAAAAGAGTGAACGAGAAAAGAACATTAATTAAAATAATAGAGAATAGAAAAGGCAAAATGCTGGGCCACCTTATACGACATGACGATTTTTTTAAGAGCATAGTAGAAGGAAAAATAGAGGGCAAAAGAGGAAGAGGAAGAACGAGGAATAACTACATGGGACAGATAAAAGAAACACTAGGTGTCATGTCGTATAGGGAGGTCAAGGATATTTCCACGTTTCCCTCTGGAAACCATCATGACTAATTTATCGTTAAATTCGTCATGAGACTAACTGACCTGCCTATTCATCTTCACCAATCATCCCTCACTGGTGCCAGTGTATACCGATAGCACAGGCGGGGTCTACATTCCATTATTATTTAATAAAAAAAAAGATATAACAATGATGATTTATTTATTTCGAGTTTTCCTCCTTTTGTTGGTGTAACTGCAAAATTGTTAGAAAAAAATTCTAAAACTTTATTACAAATGTTTTGTCAATATATCAAATTACAATAAATATTATACAATTCGTGGTAATTCAACGTCACTCATCAATCATCTTGATTGAAACAGCAATTTGGCCCTTTTGTACGTATACCATAAACAATACAATCTTTGTCTAGAATTTGTTGTTGGTATATCTTAGCAATTTATCTGTTAAATTACTTTTAGAGAAAGCGAATAAACAAATAATTCCTTTACAAATAACTGGCTGTTGCCCCCGGCTTTGCACATGTGATGTCGTATTTGTCCTTTAAATTGAAATTTACAAATATCCTTCCTTAGCAGATATTTCGACTCTCTCTGCACATCCTAATGGTTCACTGGTAGAGAATGCCTATAGCATTAACGACTCATACGCATAACGGCCCAAATGAGAGGCTAAGCGCGGAAAATAGAGTCCTATTTACATTACATTACATTACTCATTCATTACATTACATTACAGTCCTCAGGAATGGCAACGCATGGAGGGTATCATGGACGAAACAGTATACTCTGTTATGTCCATGGTACTGCTCATGTCTGTCTTTTTTGCGGATGAATTCTAAATACAATCCCAACAATTGTCGGAAACAACAAACTTTTTTTACAACACAGTGGGCAAACGAGCATGCGGCTCACCTGATGGTAAGTGACTACTGCCGCCCATGATCACTCGCAACACCAACGGCATCGAAGGTGCGCTGCCGAAATTTAATAAAGGAAAATGCTCTTTTCTTGAAGGTTATGACATCGTATCGGTCCGGAAATACTGCTGCTGGAAGTTGATTCCAAAGAGTGGTTGTCCGTAAAATACTTCTAAATAGTTCATTAAATTTCCGTTATATACAAATGGTTAAATTGGGCATAAGTTTTAAAAATGTATTGTTTGCTTGCGCAGGCGCAGCGGACAAAGAAGCTGATGAGGAGGAAGGCACGGCGGGGGGGACGACGCCCGCCGATGATACCGACGGTGACGCGGAACAGGGCAAGCACATCCTGCCGCTCGCTGCGCACCCGTCAACAATGTTAGTATACTTTACTGGAACTGTTGTAGAAACGAGATTTTTCATTTTGGTCCCTGTAAATATATACTATCTATAAAAAAAATTGCGCAAAATTCAACAACTAAAAAAAAATTGAAAAAATTAATTTGCTAAGTAGTTTATTGAAACAAAACCGTTTTTAGTTATTTTTCAATTCACTTTATGATATACTAGCCGTTTCCCGCGGCGTTACCCGTTTCTAACTATGTAGTTCCCGTATATCATTCTTATTGGAACCCTTCATGAATCCGGCTTTATATTGTATTATATACTTAAATGATAATTATATACCGAATACCTTTATAAAGTCTCAGCCAATTCAACTAAACGGTTATTTTATAGCATTTTATATGTGATTCTTTTAATTAGTATATATATATACTAATTAAAAGTATCATAGGGTTTCCTATGTGATCCCGGCATAGAATAAGGCACCCCTTCCTTTTCCTTGAAGTTTTCGTTGTAAGAGGCAACTAAGGGACCTTAATGGTCGAGGAATGGGCAGCAGCGTCCCTCTTTAAACATCGTCAAACCATAACTGCGGTTGAATGAATGAATGAATGAATGAATTTTTTTTATTCATTCATTCATTCATTCATTATTTGTTTTTCTGTGAATTGAAATAGTATATCTACACTCTTAATTTATAAATTATTATGTTTTGTAAAAAAAAATATTGAATTGCTTAATATTTGTTGGCAGTGAGGTGTCGGCCAGTCAGCAGGATTTTTTCAAAATGTTGGACGAGAAAATTGAAAAGGTATTATTAACAAAAAACTAACAATTTTATTATCGTTATTATTAATTTTTAATAGACGTATGACATACAATAAAATATTAATTGATTATTTTTCCAGGGCAAGGATTACGACTCGTCGAGTGAAACAGAAGTACGACTAGAAAGAGAGCGACGAAGACTCCTCATTGACCAATGGCGATCAGCCTCACAATCATCCCAGTCTTTCCAATCGCAGCCAAGTCCTCCAACTCCCGCCAGAAGGCGAGTGCCCAGACCAGTACCTCAACCACCAGAACGCCAAAGCAGTCCAGGGTCAGCGAGACGCTGTTACAGACAACAACACGTTCCTGATGGAATGTCACCACCACCAAGAAGAGCGCAAAGTGCCCAGTCTCATCATCAGGCAGATCAACGACAAATCAACGGGGACAATTGGCAAGATCCCACCAAGTCACCGGTGAAGCGACCACAAAGTGCTGGAGCAAACTGGAAAAATAATCCTAAAGTAACGCCTTATAATCAAAAACCTAAAAAGAATGAAGCTAACGAATATCAGAGATCTAATCAAAAGGAGGATATGACGGGATCTGGCCAAGACATATCACAAGTAACGTACAATCCAACATTCCAAACACACAGTCCCGCGCATTCGACAAAATCTCAGCAGCCGTATAAAGCACAGATTATAAGTTACCCTATGTCACAACAAGTTACACCACCTTCTACTCCTAAATACATCGCACCCCCGGAGGAATACCAGGATCCACAAAACAATGTTGTTGATAATAAATACAGCAACACCCAAAGACAAACGCCCGTTACACAAGTCAATTCTCAACCACACATTTATTACATACATGGAAATGCAACAACGAGCATAAATCCAGATCTTGTTCAGCAAAGGCAGCAAACCGCTATACATTTGCAGCAATATGTTGCTATGAAACAAGCACAGCAACAGATGTTCACATATTTGCAAAGAGGTCCACATACAGTGTTCCCAAATGTAGATTATAGTCAAAGTCAAAATCCGAACCGAATGTACGAAGGTGAAGAATTCATTCCTCAATACACGCATCCGAACATGAGACCCCACAGTGCACCGGTTGGAGTCGTCCGACCGATGCCTGTAGCTCCCGGCTTCAATTTACCCGACGGATCTCATATGGTTCAAATGCCAATGTGGCCACATATGCCACCAGTTGTTTCTACAATGGGTCCTTGGGTTCCTGGACAAGTACCGCCTGAAATGCAGTACTACCCGCAGTCCCAATTTGTGCCTATGTACCGACCGAATTCCGCCGGCTCTGCTGGAACATTGACGAGGTACCATAAGAAAGAAAATGAAGGGGAAGTGAAGAACAATGTGTGCCAAAGCATAAATCTAGTCAGACAGAAGCCGATCGGTCAGATTGTGTCAATACCAGGGCAAGACCTGACCGTGTGCAACAGTACAAGCGACAGTCCTAGTCCAGCGTCCGTGAGTACAGACAGTGGAGTGTCCCCCGGTAACAGTGCGCCTAGTTCAAAAAATTCAGGCTTTAGTACACCATCGAGTGGGACCGATACATTTAGCAATGCTTTAGATAATAAAAATAAAAAAAATAAAACTGTCCCTTTCCACTCGAGATCTTTAAAAAATTCAAAGAGTCTAGATTCTTAGTGAAAGTTTGTAATTATGTAGATTTTCTAAATGTACTTAGCGTCTAGTTGACGATAATATGTAAAGTAAAAATTAGATTCCAAAGTGCTTATCTTTGTATAATTGTGAATTTATGGAGCATTTTTTTATGAGTCGGTGTTGCAGCTCTATTCGATGTAGTTCCCTTATCTTAACTTTAATGCCCTAGCAGATTAGAGATATTTAGTCCGCTGACAAAATTTCGCTTTGTGTTTTCCTCATTTTCTTGGACTTGAAATCTTATGAGAAGCAATCATAAATGTCAATTTTTGTCCATTCCTGACAAAACTCCTAAGAAGTATGCTACAACGCTCACGTTTTGACTATATTATTGACACAGCTTACATAAAGGAACATTTTGTCCGCAGACAAAATATCATCGTCTGCGGAGGCTTTAATCTTGATATCAATGTTTCACTGTGAATTTTTATTGTGATAATCTAATTTCCAAAACGGAACGTGCAATTCCATAAACAAAAAAAAAACTATTTCAATTACTTCTTTATCATTGTTACCAACAAAGTAAAAGTTAAGTTTAAGTGAGTTTTCTTTTTAAGAACGGGTAATGTTGTTATTTATTTATTACCTTACCAAATTGGGACTAGATTCTATCTAACTATATGTTTAGATAAAGACATGTAAATGGTACTTTTTAGTGCCGAATGATGCATTTTAAATATCCAATAATAACGATATCCATGAACTGTAGTTTTCTTTAGTAACAACGTACAATTTCATTCCCTCCTTTCCAGACGGCAGTAAGAAATGAAATACTAGAAGTGCTCGCATTAATAATGGCACTATTTATTCCTGAGATAGGATTCTTGATTCATTGAACGCGCTTATATTGTGTTTAGTTCTTATAAAAAAGGATATTGAAGTAGATATACGTTCTCTATAACAGTTTGACATAATTACCACACCTGTAATCATTTTGATATTTAAAAATCTATTATGAGGGCCTTAATAAAGCTAATAGATGCTGAAACAATATTTTTTTATAAATGTTGTCTATCTGTCTGTCCGTCTGCCTGTATGTTTGTTCCGGCATCACGCAAAAACTAGTACACCAATTTAGATGTGATTTGCACAATTGTGTTCCTTAAGGTCTAATTTTTATTTTTTTTTTATGAAATCCGTCGGTTAATCAATCAGTTTTATAATATACAAATCCAACATCTCAACTTTAACACATTCGTGTCGGGGGAAAAGGGACTGTTAGTAATAGAGACTGAAAATCCTATTGCTAGCAATATATCCAACCAGGTCGACCTCCTCGCAGTTCTCCCTGGAAACTATCATGGTTAATTCCTGATGAATTCATCATGATGGGCTAACTGGCCTGTTTTCATTCTCATCTATCACCTTCACTGGTGCTCCGCCAGTGTATCCCGTTAGCGCAAGCGGGGTTACCACACCATTTTCACCCATCAAAAAAAAACACATTCGTGTTTCTACCATTAAGCAGTTGTGTTTGCATGGCTGTGTTTCAGTTTGAAGGGTGGGATATGGCAGTGAATTTACAGGGTACAGAGGAATAACACCTGAGTCCTCAGGAATGGCAACGCATGGAGGGTATCATGGGCGAAACAGTATATTCTGTTATGTCCATGGCACTGCTCATGTCTCTAGGTGACGGTTATCACTTTCATCAGGTGGGCTGTCAGCTTGTTTGCCATTCTAAGTTGCATAACAAAAATCTATTGCATAACTTTTAACTTCGACTTCATCTGCGGAACTGTGTTATGTTTACTGGCTGGGATACAAAATAGATGGTATTCTTCTGCATCCCAAATAGTACATTTTTACTAAATTTCAAAGTGATTATTTAAGCTGTTAAGACGTTAAGAGGAAACAATCAAACTCACTTTCTCATAATATTTTAGATATAATTGCTTTGAGAGTATTAGGAAAGTAGAATGAGGAAGTGATTAACATTATGTGTAAATATAAGGATTAAACAAAAACACCAGAGAATTTATTTCCAAATTTATTTTATTAACAATTTTTAATTGAAAATCTACTGAAGCCATAGAATGTTACATCACTAACTTAAAACCCATCGTGCTTGATGAAAACTTGTAGCCCCATCGTTAATAATGCACCCTGACCAGTCGACCTCCACAGTACCTACCCTTAAAGCCAGGGGGGAAAGGGATTGTTAGCAATGGAGTTTGACAGACCCATTGCTAGCAATATGCCCTATTAGGTTGACCTCCACGTGGTTCCCCCTGGAAACCATCGTGAACAATTCTTGTTGAATTCGTCACAATGGGCTAACTGACCTGCTTCATCCTCATTTATCATTCTTCTCTGGTGCCCCGCCGGTGTATACCTAGAGCGCGGGTGGGGATACCATTCCATTAGCACCCAAAAAACAAAAACCCTTAAAGTCATTGTGGGTAACTTCTAGTACATTCAATAAGTCAACTGAACTTACTTCGCCTTGATCTGTCATCACTCACTATTATCTCACTAATACTATTTCAACCGACTTCAAAGAAAGGAGATTTTCATCACACCGGCACATATAAACCGATTTGGAAAATCCTTTTTTATCTGAAAATATCCTTTCAGATTCTCGTTGAAAGTTCATCAAAATTAGTGCTTTAGTTTTTACCACCAACATAATTTTTTTTTTGTAACACAATCTTAATTATCTGTGATAGAATGACAAATAACTTGCCAAATAGAAAGTTACTGAATATGTCCAATAAAAAAAAGTAGCTTAACAATACTACAAACGAGTCGTAGAAAAATTTAAAGCCGGTTGAGTTATGTAAATATTGATTTATTTTACATTGTAGCTACCTATTTCCGATGCCATCGATAGCTTATAAAAAATTCACTCACTCTATTTAAACACCACTATGACAGTAATAGCAGTCGTGTACAAAGGCTGAGTCAATACTCAAACAGTATACATAAACCTTTACTAAAACTAAAATTTTTAAAAGTTAATTTAAAAGAAAAAAAATCGATCCATAAACCATTAAGACTCCCTCCATCAGAGGAAGACTCTACAAGTGTCTACTTGGGTCCCATTCGTGTTTCGCAGCGAAGCGATTGTGTTTGCGTGGGCTATGTATCGGTTTGAAGGGTGGGATATAGCAGTGAATTTACATGATACAAAAACATAAGATTTAGTCCTCAGGAACGGTAACACTTTATGGGTATCATGGGCGCAACAGTATATACTGTTATGTCCATGGTACTGCTCATGTCTATACGCGACGGTTACCACTTTCATCAGGTGGGCCGTCAGCTTGTTTGCCATTCTAAGTTGCACAAAAAAAAATTGCAAGGTATAAAAGTATAACACTTTAGTCCTCAGGAATGGCAACACTTTATGCGTTGTGTATTATGGGCGACGCAATACACAATTTTATGTGCATGGTACTGTTCATGTCTATAGACGACGGTTACTACTTTTCATCAAGTGGGCCGTCAGTTTGTTTGTCCTTCTAACTTGCACAAAAATGAGTTTATTTATTTATTTGTTTCTTACCTCTTGGTGGCTTAACGAATTAATCTACCATCATGAAATTTTGTATGTATGCATATTCTATTTTAAATTGGAAAAGGACACAATGTGTTTATAATTTTAGGTAATTAATATATTCCAGTCGTGCAGATGAGACTGAATAAATACTCTATCTATTATAAATTTTCTCTTTACTTATCAAACAGAAAAACATCAAAGACATTAGAAGGAAGTCTGCGTATACTGGTGGCTCGGGACCGTTTCTTACGACAGTCTATGGGGGCGGCTTATGTTCAGCAGTGGACTGATAAAGGGTGATAAGATGTTGATAATAATCAAAGAGAAATATTAGTTTTTGGAATATACATAAGTAAAGAATTGTTTCATTCTATGTAATCTAAAATAACAAGAAAATTTTGCTCCACAAAAAAATAAAATTATGATAAACAAAAGCAATTATTTTGATATGAAGATCTGAACTGTTATTGTACTGATCACAATAAAACTTCTCTGGGACCAATCTTAAAGTATATCCTTTCAAATTAAAAATAAAAAAAAAGATATATATCGATTGATAAATAAAGGAGTTCCGAGGTAGCAAACATAAAAAACTTGATTGAATTAATTGAAGCTCCATTTTTTTAATTGATTAAAAATAATATAAATACCATCCTTACATATAATTTTCAATCTTTCCAAAATTTGGATTTAGATTTCATCCTATCCAATTTGATTGCATGAAACATCACCCCACAATTTTACATAATCATATGTACTACGTATATATATATAAAGTAGATACAGACTTTACACGCTGCAGGCTATAAAAGATATTAAACGACGTTAAGTATAAAATATAAACTGATATTTTAAGTTCATTTCGAAAGTTTTATGGTCGCTTGTTGGCTGCAACGATAGTCAGGAATGGATGGATGCACATTAAGGCACTTTCTTACATTTCAGAACCATATCTTACGCTTAAAGTATGAGTTATGTATGTCACTAAAAGCTAGATGGTAAATATTAAGAGCATACTTGATGTAAATTGCGTATCTTTATTACAAAAGTATCTAACAATTAAACTATGTAACTTTTGAACGTTGTTTACTCATATTTTAAATTTGTCGTTTATCTACGTCGAAACGTCAGTAATAAAGAAGTTACTATTTACATGCAAAAATTTTTCATCCCGTTAAATCCTGATTATATTGAAAATATCTAAAAATTGTTTATTTGTGTTTACGAAGTGATATTTGGAACTTAAGAAGTTTTATAATTCAAAATTGTGTTCAACAAGAAAACAGACTTTAATTGTGAAAAAAACCAGCAATCAATTTGATTTCAAAACTAAATTATTGTACCGATTTTGTTAAAATTATTATAGAAATAATCTGTAAGAATATTCATTCAGATAGAAATGAATTTTCTAAAACAGTTTATAACTGACAGAGTTATTAGTTAACAAATGTAACAAAAAAATACAACCGAATTGAAAATGTCCTTGTTTTTGAAGTCGCCGGTTAAAAACTCTTTATGTGTCTCTCCAGTTGTTGATTCTATTATTTGCGTGAATATTTGTATCTCTCTATTTGATAACAGAGTAAGATAAATGTGTCACCATTTCTTTTGTGCTGCCAAGATGTCGTGCAAAGCTTTTAAGGACTCTCGACAGCGGTCTAGAAAATTGTAATCAGGTGATTTTATTCCACAAAAAAAAACACCTATTTCAATTGCGAAAACATCTTTTAATTTGATTTAAAAACCAAAGTACTAAAACGATTTTGATAAAATTTCTGTGGCACTAATCTAAAAATAAATTATCATTTCAGACAAAAAATATTTTTCCAAATCATTACATCAAATTACGGAGTTTTGAGGATTAAACATAATCATATTAATATAATGAATGCCAAAGTTTGTAACGACGAATGGATGGATAGATATTTTTTACTACATGGGTTTGCGCTTACTTTTACCTGATTTGACAGTAAATGATGATAAAGTCCTAGATTTTATCAAATATATTATCATGAAGCGCGCTTATCCAGAAGATAGTCTTTCACGCAAAAACTACTGAACGGATTTGAATGAAATTTGGTACATCAGTAGAATGTATCCTAACTTAGCACATAGGAATCTTTATATACTATTTAAGGTGGGTGAAGCCGCGGAATGTAGCTAGTGTATAATATTAGTAATATACAAAAGAGTTCCCAGAT